ACATTACAAATATATACATGTATCGCGATATCTCGAATATCGTAGCGACTGAAACATGAGGCGGCCTGGTGCAGCACATTCGGTTGCCTGGAAACATTACAAACGGGAGATTCAGCTGGGCTCCAGATCAGTCTCTCGAAAAGGGCTAATAATCGTCCAAATTTTTAACATCCTATTAGGGCCGCATAGGCCTAGAGCACACAATCTACCCGAAGCTCTTAGCTTCTTGGTCAAGCAAGTCCAACTATTAGCGTAATTCAAATAGTGGTAACAGAACTATTCTATTATTTTTCCATTCAATAAAAATTGAATTCCTGAAAGAACCAAGGGAACTTTGAAGACACGAACGCAGTGAAGCAGATTATACTAATAATCATGCTGCTTTCGCACATAAGCATCCAATTTTGAAACGAATTTTAATGCCTTTCCTATAAAGTCATTGGTAATTCCATTCATTTCTCTTTCCACCAGGTTAAAATATGGTTCCAAAATCGTCGAATGAAATGGAGAACTTTTAGGCAGCGTAGTTCAAGCCCTCATTCAGGTGGCCTAAAGGCAACTCGCAACACAAGTCCCAGTTCAGTCAATTCAAGGGTCATGTTTCCACCCGACCATGCTTGTTTGTTTGGCGAATTCAAGCTTGCTTTTGAGCAAGATCAACCGTCATTTGATATCCGTGTTCCATCGTCTGAGGACACCTTGAAAAACTCCAGCTGAAACTCGACCAAATCCGTACGACTCTTGAAAAGAACATTTCGCGCCTGCCTCGAGTGCCCGAATGATCCAGTTAACTGCTGAAGTCTATTCAGCAGTATATAACTTTTGGCATACGCATTCCACATCAACCTTTAATCCCAGATGTATTCGTCCACCAGCATTTGTATTTCCTTTAATTGTGGTTCGGAATGTAGTTGACGTGAAATATGCTTACAGTGTTGTCCATTCCGGAAGTGGGTTACAAAATATATGGTTTTTTGCTACAATGGCGGTGCGTGGATCACAGATTTTCTGATTACAGTTTAACCGTTTCAGTGGTAATCTAAAGATCTTCGGACTTGAGTTGTATCCACTCACTTTGATTTTGTGCCTTTTCTACTCGAAAGTAGTAACAAGACAAAAATCTGTCCGAGACTGCGTTAAAAAGTTCACCATAGTGATCTCATGGTTCCGTAGAACATTGATGTCTTCTAGCAGACCTCTGTTCACTTAATCAACAGCAACAGACGTTTATTCCAACCACGCACATGCCTGGGATGCAAAGGTCATCACAGAACATCACAAACTATATGAAACTCCCTCCAAAATGACTCAGAAACAAACTACCGTTAACAAGGTGGAACAAATTAGTTCTTTTGGAGCAGTCTTCACTTTCAAGATGGTCCACACAGTTACAAAAGTCTTTTAATGACGATGATGGATCAAAACCATTAGTCAGTCTAAAATGCTCTCCTGGGATAGTGAAGTGTTGGTAAGTGATTTGAGTACTGGACGTATATTCCAAACACATCCAAAACGTAAACGAATTAATTGTAACTTTCCCCCTATTGGTAGTTAAGGCATCTTCTCTTCACCTATCCCACGTTCAACAGGGAACAAAATTCATGAACTGTGAGAAATCGCCCTTTCTTCTGAAGTCTTTACACCTCTCAAAAAATACTTCTAGTCCTAACTCAATGAGGCTTTCACACCAGTACATCACACGTTCCGTCCTACGGAGGCTACCGTTAGCACTCAAAGTTTTGTAGTATTTACCGTGAATGGTAATTGGGCAAGTGTCGTAAAAAGTGACGGCTTCTGTCAAGAAACCGTAAGCTGGTGTATGTGAACTGTTGTCTCTAGTCCCCGCCGATCCCCACGAGCGTGGCGTTTGAAAAGAATAGCTATGCACTCATTTTGTGAAGAACAGTTCCTCTAGCAAACATAGCCAAGTCATTTTCTTTATATTGTTCTCGCACTAAATTAATCAAATAACTACAGTAACCATTGGAAAAATGAGCCACGGGACGATACACGTGCACAGCCACTGAACAGCAGAGTAACACCTTTTGGGTTTGTCTTGTGGAAAATAGCACCGAATGCGTCTCTGAGATATGCATGGACTAATAAACTATGGTCAATAATGGACTACTGTCGCGCAATAGAATTTAGCTGAGTAGCTTTTTTGCGTTGTATGATCCCAGTTCAAACGGCAGCCTGTCTCGCGTTGTGCACTTATGGTAAGGGATAGCTCTGTTAGACAAAAAGAGGTAACATTTGTGAAGTGTTTTTGTTTCTTACTTGACAAGTGTGCAAAATCATTTGGCCAGACTTCAGCCGGAGCAAGTTACGGGTGGTATAAAATCCGTGAGTACTCAGTGGTTGTTTAAGAATGAAGACAGTACTGCTGATTCCCGTGAGTGTTATGTAATGCCGAACCATCGTTTGCCGAAGAGTGCACTGTACTGTTTTCCATGCCCAATTCGGAGTGGCGTAAACAGAGAGGTGGCCAACCCTTGACTTGGCAGAGGAGTATGAAGATCACGAAACGCTTGGGTGTTGTCGGTGCTACTCGCCTTCCAGGATGGGGACCGCGTGCTCCTCACTGTGCCTGGTCGGAGACATTACAAGATATGACTGCCAACCGATATCAGTGGCGTTCTTGTTGTCAGTTTCTGTCCAGATTGCCTGAGTGAATGTCTGGAGGTGTAGGCACCTCGGAATGATTGTGTTGAGCTAGCACTAAGTCCCTTCCCCGTCCACCTTCACTCTTTTCTTTACAATACGGCTTTCGAATAAATCATGGTTGTACGTACTTCATATGCCGTTTATCTTAGTTTGCATTAGTAATTTAATAAAAATTGGCCGATTAGGAACCCAAAGTTAATGAGCCTGCAGTTGTGTAAGCGTTGAAATGGTTAGTTTTGAGTGATCATGAGGACAAATGTCATTATCCTTATCAAATCCATAGTTTGGCACGTTAGCACTTGCATTTATCAAAGAGAGGATCCCGAAGTCATTGCAGAAACTGAGCCTCTTCACTTAATGATGTCGCGATTTCTGCAGTGGCCCCGCGAAACAAGGTTTAGATTGTGTAATGAATATAAGGTTTGCAAAGCTGCAAATCGCTTTCAGGGAGACGATTAGTTTAATTGATGTGTCAAAAACTGTGACCAAGAAAGCGTTTCTTACAAAACTTCGTGATTAATTCAAAGCTTACTGATAGTTTTCGAAATATACTGAGCAACACAACGAGAAAATAACACTTCGAACTGTTTCAGTGTTACTAACAAACAAATATCTATCTCGTCGTCTCTGTGGGGTAATGGTAATACTAGTTACCAGGATGGGTGTTTCCTAAGATACTTATCCGCGGTATCCAGCTCCGATGCAACCTGGTCAGGACGAGAGTTAGAAGCGCTCGACATGGTCATGGTGGCCAGACGTTCTTATGTCGTGAAAACTGTGGCCGACCGGAGAGCTTGGTGCATATTTTGCAATCCTGCTGGATCACGCATGACGCAAGATGTACTTGTCTTAATCGGGTTGCCACGGAGCTCGCAAAACGTCTCCGTAGACTTGAACACACCGTATTTGAGGATTTGAGAGCACTCACTTTGACCCCCTTCATCAAACCTGACCTAATCGCTGTTCGAGATCGCTGGGCAACTGCAGTAGAAGTCAGCATAGTCTCGGGCGGGCGCGATGTAACTGTGTGGAATGAGAAGAAGAAGTATGGTGCTGGTGATTATTCTCTCGCCATAATCTCAGCCCTACATGCAATCGGTGGTGAGGTCAACTTTTTGGTCCACCAACCGATGATCATCTCTTATCGAGGGATCCGCTTTCCTCAATCCACCAGGGCTGTTATTAAACTGGGACTTCCTAAGGTCGCAGTCAGTGACTTGTGTTTGCTTGTCATCGTGGGCTCTCTACGTACTTATGACACTTTTAAGCGTGTCACATGGCGTTGAATGTGCACTTTCGCCATTTAATCTCACACCAGACTCAGTATGACGGACACTGTGTGCCTAATGTGCGAGTCTTGATTGTGCTTGCGTTTACCACGCCTTGAAGAGCATTCGCCATTTTCATAAAGGGAACGACTCACAAGGTCGTGAGCTGTCGAAGTGTTCCAGCAACCCTTGTGAGTAGTTTCCTTTGTGAAAATATACTGCGATATCTCGAATATCGTGCCAACTGAAGCATGAGGCGGCCAGTGTGCAGCACATTTGGCTGGAGGACACCATAAACGAGAGATTTAATTGAGTCTCCCGTGAAAACCAAACTGATTTGCAAATGAGTGTATTCCTCGAAAGCATTCAACATTGTTTGTCCTTTCTTCGGTTGTTGGTCTTTGGACGCGTGTTTCCATATCAAAGTAGTTACACACGTTGGGATTCATCTCATCTGACTGGAACTTTTGGTGGCATGAATTCGAATAAGGCGTTTCTCTCTTTTCTCTCACATTCTCCTGTTACCTTTTCGCATTCGTCGTTTGCATTCACTTTTTATGTTTGTGATCATGCTCTTAAAAAATAAATGATAGCAGTGTGTGTACCATATTCCTAAGAACGTTGAAAGAAGTCCAGAAGCCGCGTGAATGTTTCGCGTTGCCCTTGGAAGGTTCACCTTGCACTATTACTTGCACTAAAATGATATACAGATGTAAGGTTGCTATGAACTTGTAATGATCAGCTATCCAGAGCACTTTCAAAACCTTTTGGAGTATTTAAAATCAGAACACCGTTAGGATTTGAGCTGTGAATGATCCTCATGCTGTGTACCAGCTCGTTAAAAATGTTGGTGTACAGGCCGTGCTAGACTATTTATTTACAAATGCGTCAAGCGCATGTCCACTGGAAAGCTGAAGGACACTGTGCAAGAATCACTAACCGTGAAAGCACAACAGTTATGGAACAAGAAAACTGAAACAGAAACTACAGGAAACTTCCCGAACATGGGTTGGCAGGAAGTGGAAAAGTGTAGGGCTATGGTACAATATCTGTTTTTTTGTTAAGTCAAGTTCGAATCGGCGGAGATCTTGGTGAGGAATCAGAGTTCTGCACATTTAGTTGCGTTGTCCACTCGGGGAACAAGGAAAATCGATCGTTTGTGCATACGTTCAAGGGCGGTTCAGCGGGAAGGTATCTGCTCTTAATACGATTTCTCCGTTGCTTTTTTTCGGGGGTTTAAAACACCGAATAACAACAATCAAAAATGGATAGTCATGTGTGTGAAACACTTAACACAATTTTGAAGTTTGACTCCCGCTTGTGAGACACCGAAAATGTTTACTTGTTGCATCGGATGTTTAAAAAAAACTAAACAAATGCGAAAGTCACCCGTGGGGCTCATTCGGATGGCTAAATATTTAGCGTTTAGCCGGTTGATTTCAAAACATTCTTTAAATAAATGACCTTTTCCAACATGCAATTACAAGTGACTTGTGTAAGAGCACGGTGAAATTTGGGCAGACCAATTGTAGGCTTTTACAGAGATTTTGACCGTCTTTGCGGAGGTAACAAAACCCAACTCGTATTAAAACCTAAAGCTTCAATATCCACACATCGAGCAACAGGGTTTCAGGATAGCCGAGCAAATAAACACAGCATGTCTCAAAGTTTTCAGTGCTTTAGGAGTACAGGTTTGATGTGACTGCAAATTTGTCGATATTACTCGCATCTGATGAGTAGTCCGAAAAATTGAGTGAAATGCGGTGTCCCGGGTGCAGACATTTA